AAAAAGCTGTAAAAAATGAATATGCAATGAAAGATAATTCCTGGGTTTGACAGATCAGAGAGATTAAATATAAAACCCTAGGTCTGAGGGACTACACGTAGAACCAACCGGTCTCTGAGAATCATCCATGTAGTCATCCTGTTTCTTGGCCTCCTTCACAGACTGGAAAGTCGACGCCAGCTCCGCCAGTTTAGACGTGGGTTTGTAGACTTTTGCCTTTCCTCCACCTCCTCCCCTCTCCTCTGCAATAAATAATTATTGTGTTTGTCGATGAAATGATTATTTTAATTTCAGCATAGATAAGGCCATCATACGGGCATGTACATATTTCTCAAAATTTCCAATTTGAAATTTCTAGCTATGTTTAGTTCTTTTTATTTCATATGTTAAGTTTAAAAATAAAAAAAACTCACTTGAATTTTTGTCTGGATTAAAAGTTCCACCCTTGATCCAAGTTTTGTTCAATTTCCCAACATCATCAAATGATGCCACAAACTCCTTGTAAACTTCAGCTGTTGCCTTCTCATCTTGCTGTTAAAGATCAAAATAATACATTTTATACAGAGACACCATTTTTTTTCCCCCGGAGGCCATGATCTGAGAATTTTAACATACTGTTGTATATTGTTTTATCCTACCATTGTACATATGGTACTGTGCAGATACTTGTCCTTTTCTGATATAAGTAAATAATCTTACCTTCTTCCGTAGCTCCTCCTGCTCTCGCTTGGACAGTGACTTTTTACCCACATTCATCGTCCCTACTTCAAAAGCTTTCAGTTTACTCTCTGATATCGTCTACAAGATTGAAAACAAGTTTTCATTATGGTAGAATTATACCCTGAGTTTGACAGCATTTCACAATCAGAAGAAATAATTCCATCTTTAATTTTTTTTACTCTAGTGTCAACTGTCTTTCTAAACACCTCATTCATTAATAAAAAAGAGAAAACCTTTTATTATATGGTACTAAACTACATATTTTTTCTATGATTTCACAATAAAGCCTCAGTAAACTTTCCACATAGTATTTGTTTTATCGGACACTATTTCATCTACACACTCCCAGAAAATAACACAACTAACAAACTACCTAGTTGAACGAAAGTCTATCATAACTGTATACCGCACTACACCTCAGTACCTTTGCCTCCTCAAAGCTGAAAAACTCAGTTAACTAGTGGGTAAGCCCCGATGCATGGAGCATATTTGTATTTATAAACTAAAGAAGTCTTTTGAATCTTCAGAGGGAGCAGTGTAGACAATATTTACATTACAACAAGCTTGGGTTGCTAGGTTAACCCTTTCACCTAATTATATTTATTTTGTAATGATAGTCTTCTCAAGATTGTGTTTAGATGAAGATTACTTAGTCTTGAGGTTACATCTTTAAAGGGACTGTTAGATATAACATACCAGTTTTTGTCACTTCTCTTAATTGCTTAATCTCTTCACAGCATTCAGTGTTAGACATTTTGTCACTAAGGCAATCAATTCTGACATGAAAGATTAAACAATTTTAAGGTAGGATTCTTCTCTGGTTTCTGACTAGATGAAACATTCAAAGTATATTTGCTTATATGTCTTATATATTTACGTGTAAGGTATTTAAAAGACCATATTTTTCTTTCCTCATCACAATTGTACAACTTTAAATAGAAATGGTAAACTGCGCTTGAAAACTATTAGGGACTATATTTTTGGTGGAATTGTGGCGTATGAAAATATCTTCTTTTCTGCCTCTCAAAATTATAATAGAACAATGAATTTAGTTATAATTTTTACACAATCAAAGACTTGGAAGAAATTTTCAAATGTAAGTTAAATTAATATTTAGGGACTAAACTTTCAAAATATATCAAATAAATATGATTTTCCAAACAAACTAAAACTATGTTAACTTTTAAATGCTTCCAATCAAAGTACAGATTTGAGCCAAATATCCATAAAAAGTATTTTTTCTCTCTTAGTAAACGATCAAAACTTTTTGTTTTTGTGTCATTTTGTACATTTATAAGACTACTTCATTATATGTGAAAATAAGAAAAGGTTAAATATAGGAAGCATATGAAAATAACTAATATATCCTAAAAAATTAGGAAAAACAGAGAAAATTTGGATTAGCCAATATCCAGTTTAGTTAAATTATTTATGTAAATTTGGTAATATCATGCTATAGACCCGATATAGTAATATCTTTTTATGCAAAAAGAACAATCTTTAAACTTTTGAAATAGAAGTAGGCATCACATAATTGGCAAAAGTATTTTTTTATTTTATTCATAATTTCAAGGGAAAAGACAATGGCCTTGACCTGACCTTGCCTCTAATATAAAACGGTCAAATTTAATTTCACTGATACTATCACTTACTGATCTTGTCTTCTTGATTCTGTGAGAATTTCATTAATTTTTAAATACAAGAAATATGAGAAGAATCCTACCTTAATATCCCCCTGGCCTTTCCCAAGAAAATGGTCATTTTTCCCAGAAAAGCAGTTAGTCCTGGAGCATTTCAACCTACCAGTACTGCATTAGCTAGGGAGAAACAGCGAAAGTCGGACAGTTTTTCAGACCCTCTCGTATACACCTTCGGTACACGCTCCAAACTCGTAACACAAAACCGGAATTTTTTACGTCACATAGAATGATGTTTCTACCCTCTTTCTCTTCTAAATTTTCATTGGTTAAAAGCTTTGTAATTACTACAAATCAAAACCAAACACGGTAAGGCAAAGGCTGATAAAGTCGGACATCGACAGTGAAAGTCGGACATGTAGCATTTTAAGTAGGACACATACTAGTCTCGACATTTGAAGTCCAATTTTCTAAATTTTTAGGTTTTAAATCGTAATTATGGTGCATGCATGTAGAATCAGGGGGTGGGGCTAGGGCTTAACCCTCACTTTTTCCCCAAAACATTAATTTACACTATTATTTAAAATTCAAGTTCATTGAAAGTCTTTTTGTCCCACCATCACCTTTTTGATTACCGTCAAATCTGGTAATCTGGTAATTAATAAAATTTGATTTTGAGAGAATAATAATGGAACCCTCCTATCAACTTCCGAAATAAAATTTTCTTCGAGTTTGGACAATTACCCCCCCCCCCCTTTCCAAGTTTTTTTCTTCGTTTTTTTTTTCAGGTAAGTTGATTTTTTTAAAAATATTTGGCTACCCCCTCCGTAGCTTTAAAAAATGATACCAAGTGCCTGGGGGAAACTTTATGAACATTTAATACGTTATTTTTACATAATATACTTAGTCATCGTGTGGATCATTTAGGTAAATTTTCCATTTTATATCAAGAAATTTATATTAGCATACAGTATTTTGGGATCTTTAATATATAAACCAATGCGTTATCGTGTAAATAAATTTTTAGGTTTAAATTGTTTCCAAAATTAACCCCATATATATTATGATTGTAGGTAGAAAACTATATATCCCTTTATCTTTAAGAAGGAAACTTATTTTCTCTGAATGAGTAACGAGTTATAAACATGAAACTCAAATAAAGCAATGAAAAAAGACTTTGTTGGTTTTTTTTTTCCAGACTTTCTTTTCTCTTTTCTTTTTCCTTATTTTCCTCAGTTCATATATTTTTCGTTTCTCTGCAATTACATGTATATCGGTCTGTTGCTGTTTAATTCCGTGACATGATTTTTGCTTTAAGAATTTTTCAGTGTTTTTTTCTCCTGAAATGAAACAACTTCTGTAAGGTAAGTGACAAGACGAATCTTTTTTTTTTTACTTCTGCCTTCCAAAAAGTTGCAATGAATCGGCAGAATTTGATTTGCAAAACCTAAAATACTCTGACATTACCAGTAAATTTAATTACATTATAAATAAATTGTTCTAGTATACAAAAATACGGCAATTAAAAACAATATATTCAATATAATGTGTTGTCCGACTTTAAATTCTCTTCTGTCTGACTTTAAATGACAGAACTCACTGAGAAGGTAAGGTCCGACAGTTTAATTTCAATAGTTTTTATAAATAAATATCCACCAAAAAATTATTATCATGAGAATAATTAATATTAATCGTGTAAAAGTACGCTTTAATTACAAAATATATTAGGCAAATACGGAGTATAACCGGCAAACTGAAGATTTCGCCAAGGATAACTAGGTCACCGCCGACAGGTGCGCATGCGAGTTTTTATCCGGATCCGTGAGATGCGTATATATCCTCCAAATTTTAGAGATTACTTCAAACGTTTTCACGACTATATTTGTATGAAACAACCAAAAACACCCTGTAGACGGCGAAATATACACTTGACACTAAATTTAGTAACGATTTTATTCTGAAAGAGAATAACGTCTGACTTTCGATGTCCGTCCGACTTTTGCTGTTTCTCCCCTAGTATATGTTTTTTCTTGATTAATTAACAGAATTTTATTTCAAAATACTATATTTCTGCTATAACTTAAAATAAAATAAAGTGCCGCGCCACAGCATGATACGCCCGTCAAAAAAATTACAATTTTCTTGAACAGTTTAGGTGCAAGAAAATCACATCAACCTTGATTCTAAGATTTGGATGATTTTTCCATTCCTTAAAATATTTATCCATCCCCTGTGATGTAGGCATCAATTATAATAAATATTACATCACTGATAGATTTCTGTGCTGGTTGTATTAGACCTTGTCAAATGCCCATCATCAAATTAGTCTTAACAACTTAATCTATACCAAATTAATTTTGAAAAGAAAAGGCTGGCCATCAAATGACATATGTTATAAACTGACCAACAGTTCCTCTGTCTAATCCCCAAAGGGTACAGCTTAATCAGAGCGACTGAGACAGCTAGCCTTCCAACATTGAACTCATTAATTAATCTTTAACTGGATGCTTGTCTACTCATTACTACCAAGAGATGAATGGGTCTGCACTATCTACTATAATTTTTTTTAAAAACATATAAAATACTCAAAGATTTTTTTTTTTGGTTGAGATTTAATTTCCGACAGGTTTTAATATGTAATTCATATGGACATGCTGATTCCACCCCACCCCATAAAATTAGTTTTTAAATTAATAACATTACATAATATCAGATTAGTCTATTATGCAAATCAAATTAGTTTTAATTACTTTTCATCAAATTCATTTCTAGTCAACAAGAGTTATTTTTAATCACACAGGCTTACCCATTTGCCCAATACTCAAGGGATATAGATAACACCAACGCTCTGTCAGTTAGCTCCTCGCACTCAAAACCCATTAATTTCTCTCTAATTTGACATGCAATTTTCTGTTATCAAAATTCTTCTTGACCAGTGCTTGATAATTACTCTCATGGGAGAGGCAGGATTTCTCTGACATACATTATATTTGTTATAGATTGCTGTCAAGTATATGCTTAGAAACAAGATGTGTTTGTGAAACACTATGCGCCCGGCGGCAACAAAGTTCAAAAAATCTATTTTTAGCATATTGGTCACAGTCAAGGTCACAACGTCATTGAGCGTGGTGTCATTTGAAAGAACTTAATCAGTGGAGTATGCATCCCAAATATGAAGTCCCTATCTCCTATGGTTTAAAAGTTATGGCAAAAAGTGTAAAAAGCTATTTTTAGCATATAGGTCACAGTCAAGGTCATTGACCATGGTGTCATTTGAAAGAACTTAATCAGTGGAGTATGCATTCCAAATATGAAGTTCCTATCTCCTATGGTTCAAAAGTTATGGCAAAAAGTGTAAAAAGCTATTTTTAGCATATAGGTCACAGTCAAGGTCACAAGGTCATTGACCATGGTGTCATTTGAAAGAACTTAATCAGTGGAGTATGCATCCCAAATATGAAGATCCTATCTCCTATGGTTCAAAAGTTATGGCAAAAAGTGTAAAAAGCTATTTTTAGCATATAGGTCACAGTCAAGGTCACAAGATCATTGACCTTGCTGTCAACTGAAAGGGCTTTATTAGTGGAGTATGCATACCAAATATGAAGTCCCTATCTCCTATGGTTGAAAAGTTATGACAAACAGTGGAAAAAGCTATTTTTAGCATATAGGTCACAGTCAAGGTCACAAGGTCATTGACCTTGATGTCATTTGAAAGGACTTTATTAGTGGAGTATGCGTACCAAATATGAAGTCTCTATCTCTTATTGTTCAAAAGTTATGGTCAAGGTTAAAGTTGACAAACAGACAAACAGACAGGACAAAAACAATATACGCCCGGGATCTATCGATCCCGGCGCATAAAAATAAGTATTTTCTTGATTTAACACTTTTTTAATAAGAACAGTGCAATACTATTACATTATTTGGGATGTGTAAATGAATAGTAAAAAGACACATTTTTTTTTTTAAATTCACTTAAATTAAAGGTCACAGTGACCTTGAAATAGGTCGTGACACACCTTCTACCTAAGATGCATAAACTGGCCAAGTTTGATGATTGTAGGTCTTATGGTTTTCTAGTTATGGTCCGGAAAGGATTTTTCCATTTTTGGCTATAACTTCTTAATTAAAGGTCAGAGCGACCTACTTTTTGTGTGCGACACACCTTCTACCCAAGATGCATCACATGACAAAATTTGATAATCCTAGGCCTAGTAGTATTAAAGTTATGAGCCGGAAACGAAAAAGCTAACAGACAGACGGACACGAAGCCTATAACATAATACGTCCCGTCTTAAGACGGGCGTATAAAAATACTTCATCTGTTTGAACAAAATCCCAGTTATATGCACAGAGGATTTATCTTAAGGAATGCCAGAGATTAGGTTAATATTTTTTCATTACAAATTCAAATTGGAGATGTTATTACTAATTACAATTGACACATTAAATTGCCATGAAATACTCGCACTTATGGATAAAATGTTCTTTTGCTAAAATTATAAATGTCCTATGGCCTCAGTTTTATATCAATACAATGTGTTTTGTGTATTGGAAATGAAGCAGGTAAAAAAGGCTAGGGAAAAAAGTTTTGAATTCTTGAACTTGTTAATTTTTATATGAATTACTGTAAATATATTTTATTTGGTGTGTACGATATTTGGTGGAAATTGATTTTTTTTAACAAGTTAGCGTAGATTTGATTTAGCGCATTTCTTGGTGAGCTTTTTCATGCATATATGTGCAAGTCATTTAGTGGTGTTCTTGATTTAGCCGAAGTTTCTTTCCGCAAAAGGCGCTAAGGCCAAGCTTAAAAAATTCTTTGTTTGCCGTTGCTGACCTGTAATTTTTAGACTGGGTCGGTAGGTAGGCATTCTTTTTTTTTTTTTTTGAAAAAAAAAAAAATCAGATTTTTGTTAGATAACAAATAAAAAAGGTTTTCATAGGCACTTACTAGAATATGAATAAGCTCAACTCTTGTTATAAACCTCTGATTGATAAAAAACGTGTCAAAATTTGAAAATGAAACTGTTTCAATATTCTGAAAAATTGGAGAAAAAAAATAAATTACCAAATGTCTAAAAAAAAGTTTGGGTCGGGTGCATTTTCAGTGGGTCGGTAGGCAACTGCAAACAAACTTAATTTTATTTTAGGCCTAAAAAGAATACACAGCCAAATGTAATATGTTTACAGTAATTTTTTTTTTCATTGGTATCCACAATCTTCATTACATAAGGTGTGTTATGATTAATTTTATAGTTATTTTGTATAATGCAACTTTATTTATTGAATACAGATCTGAATTCTACAATTTTCTGATACATAAGTACATTGGGACTAATGGGAGCATTCAAACTGTGGCTAGGGCCTGTTCGGAGATACAACTAGATTATTCTAACTACAGCACTTACTACAAGATCCTATATATCAGAACTGCAATGATACAATTCATTTTACTTTAAGTTCACATATAGTCTAGATTTCTTTGATATGGTCAAGGTTTCTTGGGACATGTATTTTTGGTCCATTTATGTAAAGAAGCCAAATCTTTTTCATTCGAAAGGATAAAGCTGTAATGATTATTGGCCTGGATAGCTCAGTCAGTAGAGCACCTGACTAGTGATGCAGGGGTCCGGGTTTGATTCCTGGTCCAGTCATACATTTTCTCCTTCCCTGTTACAGATTTGATGCCACTGACCACCCCTGGAATTGCAGATGAAAGTCCTAGCTTCCAGGGGCTAATAGGAACTTGGATTGTGTGTTCAAGGGCTAAGAAAGACCATTTAAGGAGGGAGGAATGTAATGGTTTGGACAATGGATATCAGCCTGGAAAGCTTTCTAGAGCACCTGATTACTGATGCAGGGGTCCCGGGTTCGATTGATTGATTCCCTGTCCAGTCATACATTTTCTCCTTTCTTGCTACATTTATCTTCACACTTTTCATAATTAAATGAAATAAAGCATTAATTATTTGACCCCCTAAGACATACAAGTGTTGACTGAATAAATAGAACGAAATTACCAGTGTAACAACCCTGATAGACCTAATACAAATTACTCAGGCGCGAACAGGCCAGAAACCGCAGAAATATATTGAATTGTCGAAGTCAAAAGCATGTTAAAAGCACTTGAGTTGCAGAACTATTCTTCACTCTACAGTACCTGGCCATAAGTGAGTCATAATTGCATTTTTACGCTATATATTTCATTGAAAACCCTATTTTTATAAAAACTTGTTGTGAAGTCAATTTTAGGTCAATTTTCATGATTTTTTCACTGAAACATGCAGAATTATTAAAATTTTCTTATCTTAATTGATAAACAAAATGATACTTAAACCATTGAGAATAAATTATAAAATATTGTAGAGACAAAATTTTCTAACCTCAAATTACTATGATTTCTTAACAAATTGAAGTCTTAAAATTTTTGTTTTGCATTTGACCTGTGATTTCACGGTAATGCATAAAGATAAAACTATTTTGAAATAATGTGAAGAAACTACATCAAATTCTGCATTTTATGGTGTTTTAGACATGAAAAAGAAACAACAAATGACACTGCGATAATATTTTAGAAAAATGCGTTTTTCAATGAAATATATAGTGGAAAAATAAAATTATGACTCACTTATGGCCAAGTACTGTATATCAAAAATAGATATTTAAATAAAAATTACAGTGCATTCAAGGGCAAATTATTGCTTAGCATAACATGCGTAGAAAAATCCAATATTATCGGTGCAACTTGGGATAACGCCATGCAAATGATGCATGTGACAGCCTTTACACAAAATCTTACCAATGCCATTGAATAAACATAACGAATAACTCTTTTGATACTTGTAAACATGAAAATTTTTAAGCTAACCTTCGCTGATCCTGGTGATATTTTGTCGTTTATCAACCCCCATGGCAAATTTTTGTCCGCCATTTTGCCTGTACTCGTCGTGTTTCTTACTAAATAAAACCCAAAACGGACGGATAATAAATTTCCGAAAAATGAAATGCCCTGAAACAATATCGAACACACGAATAAAATTTTTTTAAAAACCATGAATTTTGGCTCCGAATCTTGTTTCATAGAACAAATATTTCCTTTATCAAAAAACATGCAAACTTCAGATTGTATCATTTTTGCTTGCATACACCCCCACACCCTGCCAATTTTGCCTCACTCCTACTCCATCTAATTCTCTTTTTTTTTTTTAACAAGAGGCCCACGGGCCTTATAGGTCACCTGAGAATTATGCAACAACTTTCCAGTTACAGTGTATTGAATTTGATTCATGTTTTGAGCCAGATGCTATATAGCATTCACAATTTTGAAAGGGCACCATTGATCATCATAACAATAAACTTAGCAGTTGCTTAGCTTGGTTACTGAATACCCATACGCAGGGTAGGGGAACAAAAATGCACTCCAACTAATCAGTAATATTCATCAATAATCAGTAGTGCCCCTAACACTCTGACATAAACCCCTGACCCTAGGTTGCACAAATTTTTAAAAAGCCCCTTAAAATTGCCTATCAAAAAGTAAATAAATGTTTTATAAATACAAAGGACCAGATTTCAAACAATTAATTCATTTTCAGTATAAGTAGAGCCCCCCCCCCCCAAACACCAGAACCCTTGACCCTGGGGCCATAAAATTCACAATTCTGCAAGATTAGGGCCCTTGCTCATCATAACTACATAGGTAGTTCATCTGCTTCATACCCAGAGACAGAGATGAAAATTTTCAAAGATTTAATGTATTTTCACTATATAATCAATAGAGCCCCACCCTAACACGAGAACCCCAGACCCTGGGGCAATGAAATTCATAATTTTAGAAGAGGCATTCTTGCTCATCATAACTATGCACTTACTTAGTTTATTTAATACCTAGGAGCAGAGAAGAAGATTTTCAAAGAATTCATGTAATTTCACTATATAATCAATAGAGCCCCCGCCCCAACACCAGAACCCTTAATGATACGGCCATTAAATTCACAATTTTGGTTGAGGCACTCTTGCTCATCATAACTATGCACTTAGTTAGTTTATATAATACCTAGGAGCAGAGAAGAAGATTTTCAAGGAATTCACATATTTTCACTATATAATCAATAGAGCCCCCCCCCCCACACACACACACCAGAACCCTTGACCCTGGGGCCCATAAAATTCACAATCTTGGTTGAGGAACACTTGCTCATCATAACTATTTACTTAGTTAGTTTATTTAATACCTAGGATCAGAGAAGAAGATTTTCAAAGAATTCATGTAATTTCACTATATAATCAATTGAGCCCCCCCCCCCCAACACCAGAACCATTGACCCCGGGGCCATAAAATTCACAATTTTGGTAGAGGCACTCTTGCTCATCATAACTATTTACTTACTTGGTTTATTTAATACCCAGGGGCAGAGAAGAAGATTTTCAAAGAAATCATGTATTTTTACTATATAATCAATAGAGCCCCGCCCTAACACCAGAACCCCTGACCCTGGGGCCATAAAATTCACAATTTTGGTAGAGGCACTCTTGCTCATCATAACTATGTACTTAGTTGGTTTATTTAATACCCAGGAGCAGAGAAGAAGATTTTCAAAGAAATAATGCATTTTCACTATATACTTATTTAGCCCCACCCTAGCACTAGAACCCCTGACCCCAGGGCCATGAATTTCACAATTTTGGTAGAGGACTCAATGCTGATTACAATCATGCAAATAGTTTGACTGCTTGATGTCCAGGAGTAAAGAAGAAGATTTTTAAAGATTGCATTAATTTTAGTGGTTTTGGCCCCACCCCTCAGGCCCCAGGGGGGCAGGGATCATGAAATTCACAATTTTTGTTCCCCTTCACCCATAGATGCTTTGTGCCAAATTTGGTTGAAATTGGTTCAGTGGTTGCAGAGAAGAAGCTGAAAATGTTCAAATGTTAACACACGACACACGACGGACGACGACGGACAAAAACGGATAGCAATAGGTCACCTGAGTTTACTCAGGTGACCTAAAAATACTTTAGAGGTAGACTTTTTTCACTTTGATCTTTGAACCTAAAACTCAAAAATGTTCTTGTTTAAGCCTTTAGATTTGTCATAATGTACAAGGGAAAAGAACAAGGTGCACATACCCATAACTTCAGACTTATAAAAATCATATTCAGTTTTTGCATGAAATGTACAGTAAAACTTGTTTTGTGCGAACACGGTTTGTGAATTCACGGATATAGCGTAGTTATCTTGGATCCCCAAGTATATATAAATTCTATGAATTTTTTTTATACGGATATAACAATTAAATTATGGATATAGCAAAGTAATTTCATAGGTCCCTGTGACTTTGTTATGATAACCCGAGTTTTACTGTATCAAGTATTTAATGTAAGTTTTCTTTTTTGAAATTTAGGAAATTATTGAAAACAAAACTGTTATGAGGAAAATTTCTTTGGCATATTAAAAAAAAAATAATGTGTTTCTAATAACATGTAAATAATGTATATTTTTAAGCAAAATTTAAGGATAATTAAACCTTCAAAAAAAAAATGAAGCAAAGATCCACTCATATGAAAAGATTAATATGAGAAATGAACGTTCTCGCCCTCTTTCGTGTGCATGCTACTTCATAGGTAAATAATTGTAATCATTGTGACATTTTTGGAAAATTTTCATAAAGTACTGTATATTTTGATTAATATATAATGAAATATCAAATAAATTTTATTTACAATTGAGATATAATTTTCACCTTCATTTTGTCACACTTAAGGCAATTTATTCACCTTGTTAACCCATCTCTTT